GTTAACATCTCCTTCAGAACTCAATTATTATGTCAAATATTCTGGCAGTTTTGGTCACCACAATATAGGGAAGAACTGAAGCCATTAGAGAGTGTCCCAAGGAGGCAGCGAGGATGGGGAAGGGCCTTGATTGGAAGCTGTGTGAGGACACTGAGGGCACTTGGTGTGTTCAGCTGGAGCAGAGGAGACTGAGGGGAGACCTCACTGCAGTTACAACTCCCTGGGCAGGGGCAGAGGAGGGGCAGGGACTGAGCTCTGCTCGGGGGGGACCAGGGACAGCACCCAGGGAATGGCTGGAGCTGTGCCAGGGCAGGGTCAGGTTGGATCTCAGGAAAAGGTTCTTCCCCCAGAGGTTGGTTGGCACTGACCAGGCTCCCCAGGGCAGTGGGCACAGCCCCAAGGCTGCCAGAGCTCCAGGAGGGTTTGGATGATCCTCTGGGGCACAGGGTGTGACTCTTGGGAATGGTCCTGTGCAGGACCAGGAGTTGGACTTGATGATCCTTGTGGGTCTCTTCCAGCTCAGCTGATTCTGGGATTCTGTGAACCTGGGTCTGCAGTTATCTGTGCTCATTGATGTTTAATAAATCAGTCTTACTGCTGAAATATTTTTTGTTGAGGAACAATTAAAAAAAAAAAAGTGAGAAAAAACTTGAGAGAACTTGAAACCTGTTGGCCCAGAGGAGGCCATGAAGATGCTCCAAGGGCTGGAGCCCCTCTGCTCTGGAGCCAGACTGGGAGAGCTGGGGATGTTCACCTGGAGAAGAGAAGGCTCCAGGGGGACCTGAGAGCCCCTTCCAGGGCCTAAAGGGGCTCCAGGAGAGCTGGAGAGGGACTGGGGACAAGAGATGGAGTGCCAGGACAAGGGGGAATGGCTTCCTACTGCCAGAGGGCAGGGTTAGATGGGATAGTGGGAAGGAATTGTTCCCTGGGAGGGTGGGGAGGCCCTGGCACAGGTTGCCCAGAGAAACTGTGGCTGCCCCTGGATCCCTGGAAGTGTCCAAGACCAGGTTTGGCGGGGCTTGGAGCAACCTGGGCTAGTGGGAAGTGTTCCTTTTTCCTGTCTCAAGTAATTCCCACTATGTCTGACCAGACCTAGTGCTTGAGTTTATGTCTTACTGAGGTGCTATTGCTGCTTACTGATTGTATTTTGTGAGGAAAAAAAAGGTACCACCCATATATTTACACCATGTAACTTGTCCTTAGGTTTAATTAAAATTATTGTCTCCCTTTGAAATGGGAATTTGTGTAGGACTACAATTTTAAATTTATCTGCTTGGTGATGAATGTGACACTAAGGCTGTGGCATGATTAAGTTTGCCCTTTGAGAAGGGGATCGAGGGGGTGTCAGACACCTTAAAAAGCAATCTGAGATTTGGCCGGTACTGACATGGTGGAAATTATGTGAAATAATCTGTAAACTCTTATCTATGCACTAAAACTTCGTGTTTGTTCATGAATCTGTTATTGGTGCCACAGCAAGTTTCCTACTTCCCATCCTGTTTGTTGTTTGTATTTTTTTTTCCTCCTCTAGCTGTAGAAATAGTTCTGGCTGTTGCTCTTATTTTTTTCTTTTCACTGAAATTTATCTCATGGTAGATTTTATTGCTTCACCTGCTCACACTTGCAATAAATCCTCTGCAAGTTGTTGAATTTCACTCTGCCTTTTCTCTGAGACTCTCCAGATCCAGATTGGAATGAGCATTCATTTTAAATGTACTGTACAACTGCTTTGATTATAATTCTGGACATTCCAATGTGTCTGATGGAAAACCAGCTTTGGAAAAAGGCTGCTAACATGTGATCTGACTTGTAATGTTGCTAATTTTCTTACTGAAAATAGAACTAAAATTTGGTCTGATTCGGGTGAACTTTTCACTGGGACACCCAGCAGGGAGAAAATATCATGGAACATAGATGATAGGGGGGGGAAGCTCGTTGAGTTTTTTTTTAAAAAATAATTATTCTTCTTTTGGTAAGGCATATGAAATTTTAAGAATTAAAAATTGTCCCTGCTTTTGGATTTTTATTTGAATTTTTATTTGTTTGTGTGTGTGTGGTGTCACTGTTGAATGGGGAATAGCAAAGCTGAGCTGCTTTGACCTGACAAAGAGTTTATTGAGGGCTCGTTGATCCAAATCCTCAACCTCTAGAAAATTATAACACACATCTCTGGAAAGAAAAGTTAGGAGTTATTTTTGTTATGGTTCTGGAATTTCCATAGCATCCAGTGAAAAGAGTAAGAGGGGGAAAATTAGTCCTTATTTCGTGTAGATAATGCAAACATGGCTTATCTTCCCACCCATAGGAAACTACAATGATATGAAAGATACGGTTTTCCAGATGATTTATTTGTTCTGTTAATGCCTTCAAAAAAAAAAAAGCTTTAAAGTAAAATAATAGCTAATTTAATTTTAAAAAAAGAGGGATAATCAATTGTTATGTATCAACCTAGAGCATATAAGAATAAAAGGTGTATGTAGGAAGAGTTCATTCTTCAGTAATTTTGTTTAGACTGCCTAGGGTTTAGTGGGCATGGTGATTTTGGGTCAAAGGTTGGACTCGGTGATCTTTGGAGGTCTTTTCCAACCCCAGTGATTCTGGGATTGCAGTCCAAGAGGGGTGATGAATCTGTGCAAGCAGAGTCACTGGGGTGAGGAAGGGGAGTGATGGGCACCCGCCCCAGCTCTCTGTATTTCTCAGTGTCTGTGTGGAGGGAGGGGATCCTGCCCCTCTGGCCAGCCCTGGGCAGGCACATCTGCAGGGCTGGGCCCAGCTCGGGCTCCTCAGCACAGCAGGGCCAGGGAGCTCCTGGAGCGGGGCCAGCGCAGGCTGCGGAGATGCCCAAGGGATGGAGCAGCTCTGGGAGCAGCAAAGGCTGAGGGAGCTGGGGCTGTTCAGCCTCCAGAGCAGAGCCTGAGAGGGGCCCTCAGCCATGTCTGGAGGGGCTGCAGGGAGGGGGCAGAGGATGGAGCAGGCTCTGCTCGGGGGGGCCCAGCAATGGCCCAGGAGGAACGGGCAGGAACTGATGGCCAGGAAGTTGCAGCTGGACAGGAGGAAGAACTTGTTGGCTGGGCAGTGCCCCAGCCCTGAAGAGAGAGCAGAGAGGGGGTGGAGTGTCCTCCCTGGGGCTATTCCAACCCCATCTGGACACACTCCTGTGCCGTGTGCTGTATAACTGGGTGTTGTTCAGGCTGTTCATCCCTATCAGCAGCCTCAAGGAATGCTGTGCTGTCAGACCATCCCCGTGCTGTTCAGAGGTTTGGTCTTGCAGTCGAGCTCAGGAGGGCAACACAAAACTGTTGCTGGAGGAAATCCCGGTGCTGCAGAGGTGTCCTTTGGGGATCTCACCCAAATGGAGATCTAACAAAAGCTTCACTGTTTTGATCTCCCTTTGTAGGTCTTGTCTGTGCTGGGGTAATTATAGTCTGGAACGAGCTGCAGCAATTCCTTTGAAGTGAATGAATGTGTAATTTTTACCACAAGCTGGGAAATAGCATTTACCTCAGCTTGCTCTTGGATTTAATTCACACATGGTTTTCTATTGGGATTTGTGTGTAAAGTGTTTAGACCTCAAAAAAAACCCCCAGAACAGTGATACTTGAGTATTTCTTCCCTTGGCCAGAACTCGATTAGAAGGTGCCATTCCATACAAATGGGGTGCAGCCATCCATGGATCAGAGGAGCCTCGAAATGTCTGTGTAAAGATGGGCTGCAGTCTCCCAGGCAGTCCTGTGTGGTGAAAGGGGAAGGAGAATGGTTGTCTCTTACCCCGCTGGGTCAGTGGTGCTTTGAGGCTCTTTGAAAATAAAAAGTGCTTCTTAATTAACTTTTGTTTCTGTGGGCTTTAGAGGGGGCACTGTTCTTCTTCCATTTAAAGTAGAAAACCCAATTGTTGCCAAAATACAGTCATCACATGTGCTATACATGCTTTTATGTATTTTAAGGCTACACCTGTGCATTTGCTAGCTCTGCATGTACTGCTTTGTCTTTGAACCTATCTTTTGAGAGCACCAACAAACACTTACTTATTTTCTTTCGTTATTCTGCTCTGCTTCCATTGATGACTCTAAACTTTTGACTCCAGACTGGCAATATGAGGGTAAGATGGCAAAATGTGACTTCCTGAACATTGCTCGTCTGCTTTTGATTTGTGTTTTCCTTAGAACATTGTTAAAATTCTGTTCACTGAGTAGATCCTTTTGTTGCAATTAAATTCAAATTATGTTTGTTTCTGTTGTGAAACTTTAATTATGTTTTATACCTTCCAATCATTCTTTTGTTATTTTTTTGGGTTAAATTACCATTGTATTACCTCTGTCCCGATGGAGTTGTGCTTCACTGTTGGGATGGGCTAGAGATCCTGGTGGGATCTCTAGAGCAAGACACGAACAGATTCATTAGTGTAGCCATCCAACTGTGTCCTGATGGCCTGTGACAACAATTCTTTGCTAAGGGGGTGGGGAGACCCTGGCACGGGTTGCCCAGAGAATTTGTGGCTGCCCCTGGATCCGTGGAAGTGTCCGAGGTCAGTTTGGATCTTGGAGCAACCTGGGCTAGTGGAAGGTGTCCCTGCCCATGGCAGGGGGTTGGAACTGGATGATCTCTAAGGTCCCTTCCAACCCAAACCATTCCATGATTCTGGGATTTGGGGAGTGTGTTCATGACATGGAAAGAGTGACATAACAGACAACAGAACAAATAATATAAAGATTTTGCTGTTTAGGTGTTTGTTTTAAATAAGGATCGTATCTGAGATGTTAAATCCTTTGTCATCACGTTCCCCCATGCTCTGTAAAGTTCCTGTGAGCGAGGGATAAGCAAACAGCTCAGATTTTGATCCTCTGTGAGTGTAACTTAGCTGCCAGTTGTAGCTCATACTTACATCATACTTAAGTGAATACTTTAGCACGCCCAATACACTGACTTAAAAAACCCCAGCAACAAAACCCCCAAGATCCTACTTTTGGAATGAGAAATAACTTTACTTTTCATCTTTATAGATTGCAAGTTGGCCAGAACAGGTCCTCCAGCCACAATAGTTCCCATTGACGAGGAGAGTCGGAACGGTGAGTGCCCCCACAATTATTTGTAACACAGTTATTTATATACACCAACTTAATTTTTACCATCTAACTTCTTATGTCAGTGTGATGTTACCAGAGGACAAAGTTCTGGTCAGTCTTTGGTTTTGGTGTGGTTGGGTAAAGCTGACACCTTACTCTGCAACTTTGGTGGGAGTGTTTTGCTGCTTGTTGGTTTGCTGTAAGTTTAATAAGGTGAGTTTGTGGACACCTCTGAAATGGCAGAACTTGCTTGCTTGCAGTCGTGGAAATTTCAAAAGAAAATGAATGACCTTCTGTTTTCAATTGTTTTAATTGTCCTCTCCAATCATACAGTTCTCACATTGTTGATCTGTGATCTCAGCATTGCATTTGTGCAGAATACTGCGATGGGATGAAGTGCTTTGCCCTGCTGGAATCAGCTGTTACTCCTCCTATTGTGACTACTCTTCCCTGCTTTTTGTTTTCATATTTTATTTGGTTTTTAACCTCATAAGCTAAGTGTGGTTTTGTGCTGTGTGTGGTGGTGGTTTATCATATGTGGGTGCTTGAAATGGTGAACAAAGTCATGTCATGCTGGTGGAACCTCTCTGCCGTTATCCTCGGGGGAACTGCTCGTTGTTGGAGCTGCTCAAGGTCAGATGGATAACAGAATGGTAAAAAAAAAAAAACAAACAAAAAACAAACAAACAAACAAAAAAAACCCAAAAAAAACCCCAGTTGTTAGAGCACCTGTGTTCTGAAAAACTCTGGTACTGGAGTGGTTGTTGAAAGCAGGCTGATTGCTTCCTCCTGTGGGGGTTTTCCTTGCAATCCTGAGTGTCCAAAGGAGGGCCATGAAGGTGGTTGTGCTCTTTCGATGGGATGTGTTGGTTCTTAGCAAGTCTCTGTTGTATACTGATGTGTGTGTCACTTGTGTGATCCTTAGTTTTGGCAGAATGACCCCTGTTGCCTTCAGCTGAAATGGTTTGGCCACCAGAGCTTGTCTCTCATAGCCTTTCATCCTTCGTATTGGGTAGAAAATTAATCTGTATAAATGGTTGAGGAATGTTGTGGACTTCCCATCCCTGGAAGTGTCCAAGGCCAGGTTGGACGGGGCTTGGAGCAACCTGGGCTAGTGGAAGGTGTTCCTGCCCATGGCAGAGCACGGAATGAGATGAGCTTTCAGGTCCCTCCCAACCCAAACCATTCTGGGATATGAAAGGTAATGAGGAAAATCAGCTAAAGCAGTTTGCTGTGGTAAGAAAATGTTTTAATCCCAGTTTTTTGATATGGAACAGAAGTTATTTTCCAAAATAACTGTTGCTTGTTTTCGCAGTCAGACCCACAGTTATTGTGTGACCCTCTTGAGAGATGAGCAGAGATGTTGGGAGGTGACAGTTTCCCACCATGGGATTAATGTCTCTTTATATCAAGTAATTTAGGTGCAATAGTATGTTAGATTATGGTTGTGCTCATGTGAGGAATCCTTCAAAGGGAGAACCTGGCATTTCTTAAGGTACAAATGAATTATTTTCTGATTTTCCCTTTGCTTAACTGAATTGGGTGATAGTGCTTGAGATCATATTAACAGCAAAACTGAATTTTTCTATGTGTTTCTTATAGGCAGAAAGTTATTTTCACCCACTGATTCGGGTTTTTTTTTAATTGCTGAGTTTGAGCCCTGGTTTTAACTTGTTTTAAAGACTCAGTGAGACTTACTCATAGCTCAGAGTTTGTCATTGCCACTGCACCCCATGTTTTTGGTGGCCTTCATGTGGAGCCGCCCGTGCTCTTTCCCTCCAGATGAGCATCCTGAAATGCTCGAGGGTTTTGAATCTGTAGGAAGGGTTTTTAATGGAAAAGGAGACTCTTGGCAAAATTGAAAATTGCTAGATATGACCGATTAAATTAGAATTTGGAACAGGATGCAGAGGTTGGGGGAGAGGAAACAAGCAGACCGAGTGAATCACCCTGATGTGAGGAAGGATTTGAACTGGTGCAATCCTAACAAAAAGACTCCACAGTTAGGAATATTTTGGTTTTGCTCTTACCTATCCTAGGGAAATTAGTAAATGCTGTTGTGCTTTGATTTTATTTGGGTTTTTTTTGTTTCTCTCCCCTGCCCCTACGATGGTACAAGTGCTCCAATGAGCAGTGGGACATCTCCTGCTCTCCACACACAAATCTCCATGGTCATTGGGGATGTTTGGTATTCCTGCAAACCCAGGGAATTTTGGGAATGAGCTTTCGTGGCTGGAGGTGGGTTGGGTATTATTTTTGTATCTTTTCATCTCCCTGCTCTCTTGGCAGCAATCTTTTGTCAGCCTGGCTTCCCAGGGAGGCAGAGGATGTGATTGCTCCACAAATCCCCATCAATAACCCCCTGCAGGGAAGGATTAATGGCAAATAGGGCACAAATATGCAGGGAACAAAGCTGGGGATTTTTTTTCCCCCCTGGTACTGTTGGACCAATTTATTTTCAGTTTAATTGTATGTAATGCTGGAAGAATGGACCTGATTGCCAAGGCACATTGACAGTGTCACTGCAAATTTCCGTGCTGTAGCAAACATTATAACTTGGTTTTCAGGGACAATTGACAGGGACTGAAGAAAATGTCTCTAGAGGCACAGAATCTGTAGCCTCTCTCCTGAGGGGGGCTCAGTGTGGTAATACATCTCCCAAGGACTGTGTGTGATGCCTCTGAACAGCCATTACTTAATAAAATGTTCAGTGACTGCAGGGCTGGAACTGAAGTAATGAGCCTGAGGAAGAAGGAAGGATCCTCTCTCCATGTGCTGCTTGAATCCTGTGCCCATTCCAGCCTGGCTGCCTTAAGACATTTTGCCTAAGGAGCAAAAATTCTTTAGTAAAAAATGTTCTGACCTGGGAAGTTGCTGTGGCTGAACTCAGGTGTATCAAGAATGGCATTCCTTAAGAGCTGTGTTTCCATGTTCTTTTCCTACTTTTCCTTCCTGTTTCGGGGAAAAATGTGAATTACTGACTTGAAAGTACTTCAGCATCTTGATTTCTGCAAATACATCTTTCCTACAGAAATTATTTTTGTGCTATTACTACTGGTTTGAAATTATCTGGAAGAGGCTGCCCAGGGAGGTTTGGAGTGCCCATCCCTGGAGGTGTCCCAGGAAGGCCTGGCCGTGGCACTCAGTGCTCTGGGCTGGGGGACCAGGTTGGCATCGGGCACAGGGGGGACTTTTGGAGGTCTTTTCCAGCCTCACTGATCCCATGACATTCTTGTATTGTCTCTCTGACAACCTCTAATTTCAAACTAATGTATTTTCACCTATTACTTTCTATCATTCAAAAATCAGCTTTATGAAAGAAAAGGAATATTAGTTTTACCATTTCAAGTGACTTGAGAACAGCATTTCTCAAGTTTGGGATGTGTGTGTAGATGTGGAAAGAGGCCAAACTGTGATTTTTGTGTTGATTTTTCTCAGTTTCCCCATAAGGGCAGTTTAAGGACTCTTTGCATTTTGCTTCACTTGGTGCACTATTTTTTTGGTAGCAGTTAACAATTGCATTTCTATAATGAACAAAAATCAAATCATTACTTTATATGTTATCATCCCTGTGAAGTATTTGCAGAGAAACTGCTTCCGTTGATTTCTGATCTAATTTATGCCACTGTCTATGTGCCTCATAGATTTTTCTCACCCCTTTAGACAATCCTACAGCTCCCTAAAGTGTTTCTGAATGTTTTTGTCCAGCTTTTGACCATTCTTTCCAGATGTACCTTCACCAGTGTGGAATCTGGTTTCTCCAGCAGTGGAGATGTGGTGTGTTGTGTGTATATAAGTTAAGCTACTGCAGCCAATAAATAAAGCTTTGAATTAAGGTGAGCTTAGGTAGTCCTGGGCTGAGGATTGCAGCCCAGCCTAGTGATATCATGGCTGGGGGGATTGTGGCACTGAGTATTAGCAGAGTTTGGTTGGATCTGTGTGTGCTGATGCCATTGTGTGGTCATTAATGCCACCTCTGAGCACATTAGATTAGCCAGCAAAACAAATGTGAGCTGGGTCAGGCTCAGGCACGTAATAACATCTGGGCTAATTAGGGCACCCGGTGTGCAGTTTATTCTGGCTTTATGTTTTTATGTAGGAAGAAAGATGATACATTAGATCTAATAGCTGTCAGATTAAGTAACTTGTGTCAGGACTTGTTACCCTTGGAGAATGTTTTGGACAAATTCTAACGAGAGGAGTGGATTTGCATTGATTTGTGTGGCCACGTGGCTGCACAGTCCCGGGGCTGCTGCCAAGGGCTGAACACTGAATTTACCATGTCCAAGTGCTGTCAGCCCTGTCTGCCCATCCCTGGGCTGATTGGGAACCTGAGTGTTTCCTACTGATGCTCCTCTAAGACGAGAAGGCCCTGGGGGTGCTGGTGGGGCAGAGGCTGGACCTGCCCCGGCCCAGAAACCCCCCGTGCCCTGGGCTGATCCCCCAGCGTGGGCAGCAGGGCAGGGGGGGATTCTGCCCCTCAGGGGAGACCCCCCCGCAGAGCTGCTCCAGCCCTGGGAACAGCCCAGCAAGGACATGGAGCTGCTGGAGCCAGTCCAGAGGAGGCCCCAAGAGGATCCGAGGGCTGGAGCAGCTCTGCTGGGAGGAAAGGCTGGGAGAGTTGGGATTGTTCAGCCTGGAGAGGAGAAGCTTTGGGGTGACCCAACTGTGGCCTTCCAGGGCCTGAAGGGGATGACAAGAAAGATGGAGAGAGACTATTTCCATGGGCCTGGAGTGTCAGGACAATGGGGAATGGCTTCCCACTGCCAGAGGGCAGGGTTAGATGGGATATTGGGAAGGAATTTTTCCCTGTGAGGGTGGTGAGGCCCTGGCACAGGTTGCCCAGAGAAGCTGTGGCTGCCCCTGGATCCCTGGAAGTGTCCAAGGCCAGGTTGGACGGGGCTTGGAGCAACCTGGGCTAGTGGGAGGTGTCCCTGCTCGTGGCAGGGGGTGGAATGGGATGAGCTTTCAGGTCCCATCCAACCCAAACCATTCTGGGATTC